CACGCTATAGGATGGGAAAATATCTTCACCAACCTCACATCCAATATAGGACTAAAATCTAAAATATATAAAGAATTCAAGAAACTGGCCTGAGCCACCATGTCTATCCTAAGTTGCTTCAAATGCATTTCATGAGGCATTAGAATGATGAGATGAGTTACATGAACAATTATACATAACTATATTCAAAAAATACTTAGAAGGGGGAGATGTAGGGAGCCGCCATTCAAAGATGGCGCTGGCCTCCTGGTAGCCTAGTTGTAAACAACTCCATATTTGGCTATGCTCTCGGGACTACATGTCCTGTGACCTGTGCATGCGCGGGTATGGTAATTGGCCTTATGTCCTCAGCCTATCCCGTGGCTCCCCGTGCTTGCATTCTGGCGGGACACAATCACAGATCGGCACATTTGCCTGATTCCCTATATAAGCAGCTGCATTTTAGTTCTGGGGCCCCTCACCTCCCGCTCTCCCTTAACCAAGAGGTGCTCCAATAAAGTGTGATCTGAGAAGAAAAAAAAAAAAAAGAAAGAAACTGGGCATCAATAAACCAAATAATCCAATTAAACAGGAGATACAGATTTAAACAGAATTCTCAATAGAGGAATCTCAAATTGTTGAGAATCACTTAAAGGAATGTTTAACATCTTTAGCTATCAGGAAAGTGCAAATCAAAACTACTTTGAGATTTCATTTATATCTGTCATAATGGCTAAGATAAAAACTACAAATGACAGCTCATGTTGACAAAGATGTGGAACAAGGGGAACACTCCTCCATTGCTGGTTCAAGTGCAAACTTGTACAACCACTATGTAAATCAATATAGACTTTCCTCAGAAAATTAGGAATCAATCTGCCTCCAGACCTATCTGTACCATTCTTGGGGATGTACTCTGCATACATGCTGTGGTTGTTTAGCTTGGGTTTTTTGTGTGACTTCTAAAAGTAGAAGTGGGATGTCTCTGACTCTTTTGCCTGCTCTTTGGACACTTTTCCTCCTATTGGGTTGTCTTGTCTGGCCTTGATATGAGGGTTTATGTCTGGTCTTATTTCATCTTATTTTGCTGTGTTTGGTTGATAGCTGCTTGGACTGCTTTTTCTGAAGCGAAACAGGAGCAGTGGATTTGAGGGAGTGGGTACTGGGAGTAGAATTCAGAGGGTAGGGGGAAGGGATACTGAAATAGGGATATATTGCATGAGAAAAATAAATATAAAGAAAAAAGCTTTCACATAATCTAACTTATCATCTTCCCTGGACAATTCTATCAAATGGTTTAACAAAAAAGGCTGTCTGGGCTGGAGAGGTGGCTCAGAGGTTAAGAGCACTGCTTGCTCTTCCAGAGGTCCTGAGTTTAATTCCCAGCAGCCACATGGTGGATCACAACCATCCATAATGAGATCTGGTGCCCTCTTCTGGCCTACAAGGATATGTGCAGACAGAACACTGTATACATAATAAATAAATAAATAAATAAATAAATAAATAAATAAATAAATAAATAAATAAATCCTTAAAAAAAAAAAGGTTTTCAATCTCAAAACAGTTTCAGAAAATGAAATATCAGTACATTGAAAGACTGCAAAATGAAGTTGAAAGAATTTGAACAATTTAAGGGAGATTCTGTGAAAAATCTTTGGCTGACATCAATGTTGGTGGAGAGTATCAGAAATTCTCCCTAATGGTGGGAATAATGAAAAGGCATTTGGTTTCCACCATTTCCACTACAAAGTGTGTTTACAAACTTGGTATAATAAGATAAATAGGCAAGGATGTAAAAAGGAAAGAAGAAATAAAACTGTTTTAATTTACGAGTAGCCTTGTTCACAACTACAATGAGGAGGTAGAAAGTGACATGGAAACAGGTAAGATGAGACGGGGGCGGAGGGGCACATTCTCAAGTGGAGTTCGGCAGCAGGTGAAATCTGCAGTGTCTTTGTGCTGAGACAAAGTGTACTTCCCTTTATTCTTGAAACTGCAAAGTACTACAATACTTTCAAAGAAATTTAGTAATATAGTAGTAGTTGCCAGGGATACATGACAGCTCTAGTGACATCGTATTTTCCAAGATAAATAGTAATTTTTTTGATTTTGATATAAAAGTGGTCATAGGCCAGAAGGTTGGGCTAATACATGACTATCTTCTGTCCTTCCTTCCTTCCTTTTTCCTTCCTTCCTTCCTCTCTGCCTCCCTCCCTCCCTTCCTGTCCCCCTCTTCCTTCCTTCCTTCCTTCCTTCCTTCCTTCCTTCCTTCCTTCCTTCCTTCCTTCCTTTCTTTCTTTCTTTCTTTTTCTTTCTTCTTCTTTCTTTCTTTCTTTCCTTCTTCCTCCCTTTTAGGCAAATAGAGGTCAAGGTGCAGTTCTGGTTTCTCAGTCCTCAGTCATGCTGAGGGGGGAATTAAAGTATTCAAATCCAAGATTAATCCATCAATTTCTGGTTGTTGTTAAATTGCTCTCACTCTCCATATTTTAATTTTTGACACTTTGAATTCTATGAATGCTACACATTAAGGTATGCTGACGTTCTAAAGATGTCTTGACAAAACTACTTGACAAAATACACAGATAGATATTTGTGTTCAGGCTGTGCAACTTCATGTCAAATAATGAGAATTTTTCCTATACAAACTAAAGATGGATTTCAGAAATGTAGCAGTCCTCCTCCAGGGACTAGGTTAAAACACAGACCTGGGAACAGCTCAGTTCTAAAAAAATCCATGCAAAGTAGTGGCTGGAAGCAAATGATGCAAGGTGGTAAGCTATTAATTCCTTTCCAAATTTAAACTGCATCAGAGAAGAGCTGTTCCATTTAGCTGTTTTTCTGCCTGGGTGAGATTCTTCTCCATGTATTAAGACCTCTATATAGCTAAGTATTTCTGATGATAGCAAATTTTAAAAGGAAGCAAACCAATAAATAGAGAATCAGATGACCTCATTGCAAATGTTTCGATAATGGTTATTCCTCTGGCATGAGCCAGTTTTCTTTCTTGGACCCAGAATTTTTGTTTTCTTGATAGTATGTGATATGGATTAGGCTCACATCTAGATATAGAACAACCTTTAGAGATGGAAGAGGTAGGTAGAAGGTAATTTTTGTATCATCATTTTAATTAAGTGTGAGGAAGGCATACTAGATATGCTAATAACTAGTATCAAGAACAAGGTGAGAATAAGATTATCAAGGTATCTTTTCAATCAAATTTTGCCTAACATTAGCTTAGTAAAAATTTAAAATAGAAAGAGATGGTGTGTGCCTTGTGTGTGTGTGTGTGTGTGTGTGTGTGTGTGTGTGTGTGTGTGTGTACAAACAAGCATATAGTTTGAGCAGAACAGCTGGAAGTATATGAAGAGGGAGTCAAAAATAGGAGCATTCTACTTTTCTTAGCTTATTATTTAATCCTGTTTCCTAAGCAGTGACAGGTCACATCTCATTCCTGAAATCCAGATTGTCAGAGAAACATATGTTGCTCAAAACTTATGCTTTTTCTGATACATAAAAGCAAATTATAAACTCCTATTGAAAAATATTATGTATTTACATACCACAATTTTATATATTATACTATATAGGAGAAACCAGATGTGATACTTGAGTTTTTAACTGTGAAATGTGATCCCTGAATTATTTTCTAGTATAGTGAGACCAGAGCTAATTTTGCCTTGGTCTTCAACCAGCTTAGATCATCAATCAGCTTTTAAATAATGATCTTATATGGAATTTCTTTTTGCAGCCTCTTTACATTTTGCCTCAACAACTTTTGCCCTCCTCACAAAGCATTTGCAGTTTTGTTAGTAATCACCTTTAAGTAATTTCCACTTCTACTGCTAATCTCATTGCAAACAAGCATCTGAATGACTTTGTCATCCAACATTTCCCAATAGTTTAATCAAAATCTCTTTATTTTCTTTGTCATACTTTCACGGTTTCTCTTGCTGGAGAAGCTCATATAGAAATATTTATCCCTTTTCATTAACTACTGAAATATTTTATATTATGTGACACTGAAGAAATTCAGCTTATCCTTGCATATGTATTAATGTGCTAATTACTATGAACAAAATATTATTTTCTTAACACATTAGCTTCTCATTTCCTTCCAAGAAGAAGTATTTTTTAAGATTCCATTCAGAATTATTCAGTGATTATATTTACCTTTGATTAATCATAGAGAAAGTGGAATGAAAATTATATGTAATTTTATGTTCATAAAGTGATTGGTAAAAAAAAAAAAGATTTGGTGGGTTTTAATTTTTACCAAGGAGAGAGAATTAGCAAAGTTTGAAGAGAAACTTGAACAATATTTGAAGTGGAAAAGCTCAATAGTGTAAGAAATTATTTTAACTGCCAGCCGGTAGCAATTAAATGAGCAAAATAAAGTAAATTACATTGAATTCTACTACAAAATTCAGAGCCCTGCTGCTTTGCTGCGTATGAAGCACATTAGTAGAGTAAGTGTGTAAAAACCATATGTAAGCAGAGGGCATATAGTATTCTAGGTTTGGGACACTCCTTTCTTAGTTTATGGTTCCATTTTTGCTTCATTGACCTTTTCTCTGTGTTCTAAACTCCCTCTGTCCTCAAAGATCTGTGAGTACTTACATCATTGTTATCATTTGATTATAAGATGGATGATCTATAATATGACTTTGTCATAGTGACCTTTAACATTGTCTGGAATGTATGCTAAGTTTAGAGATGGATATGGAAAGAGTTCTATTTGCTTTCTTTGAGACCGGCTGGGATGACTCCAAAAACTCACAGAATCAGTGCAATTAGACCATTAATTTTCACTTTTACAATGCCTAGAAGATGAAGATAAGGTCATGTTCATAATCTAAAAATCAACACTGGGTTTACAAAAGAATACTGAAGAACAACATTCTTATGAAACTAAGTCAATGCCCAAAGATTTAAAGCCATATGGTCATACTTTTACATTTATAAGATTATGAGAGGAAATGTGAGTATACTCCTCCACATTCATCAGTTTTCTCTGAGTAGGTGTCAAGATAAGTGGTGAGTAGAGCATTTATCAACCTCATGGGATACGACAACTTGTCATATCTGAACCCAAGGACAGTGATTTTGATTGGCATCCCTGGACTGGAGCATGTGCAGTTTTGGATTGGATTTCCTTTCTTTGTTGTATGCCTGGTGGCTTTGCTGGGGAACCTCTTCCTGCTAGTCATTATCCCCACAGAACGCAGTCTACACCAACCCATGTATATTTTCTTGGCAGTACTGGCAGCTACTGACCTTGGTCTCTGCTTAGCCATTGCTCCTAAGATGTTGGCCATCTTCTGGTTTAGTTCGTGCTCCATGGCTTTTGATGCTTGCCTCACCCAGCTCTTTTTCATCCATGCCTTGCAAGGAATGGAGTCTGGCATCCTGTTGGCCATGGCCTTTGACCGATATGTTGCCATCTGTCATCCTCTGAGACACACATCCATCCTTACACCTTTATTTCTACTTCGAGTGGTTCTGATGGTTGCAGTTCGGGCAACTGTACTTGTTGGGATTTTACCTATCCTCCTTAAGCGACTGCAATGGTTCCACTCTGTTGTAATTGTCCATTCTTACTGTGAGCACATGGCTGTAGTCAAGCTGGCAGCAGAAGATGTCCATATTAATAAATCATATGGGCTCTTTGTGGCTTTTGCAATTCTAGGTTTTGACATGATATTTGTTTTCATCTCCTACATTTTGATTTTCCAAGCTGTTTTTCGTCTTCCACAGAAAGAGGCACGAAGCAAAGCATTCAACACTTGTACAGCTCATATTGTTGTCTTCTTGGAGTTTTATATCCTTGCCTTTTTTTCCTTTTTCAGTCACCGTTTTGGTCATGTATCACCATATGTCCACATCTTATTGTCTACCATCTATCTGCTTCTGCCCCCTGCCCTTAACCCCATTGTCTATGGTGTGAAGACCAAGGAGATTCGCAGATGGGTTGTACAAATTTTTTTTTCTGAACTCTAATACTCAGTAAAAACCCTTAAAGTATTGTGTTAGAGGGAAACTAGAGTTGCCTGTCAAAGCTTCTTATACTATATGTGCCTATTTTTATTAATTTTTTCCAATACAGTGATCTTCTACGATGAGTGTATATTCCCAAGGTAAAAATCAGTCTGAACATGGAATAAACACATGTGAAAAATACAAATATATCTAATACATTCCTATGATCCCTTATCTATGTTTTTCTTCTCCATTTTGTTTCCTTTCTTTCTTGAATTCTTATACCCATGTTTTCTTTCTCCCAACTGAGACACCTATTGTATTTTATGTAATACAAAGATAGTTTTTTTCCCTGACAGTGGACAGTGACACGGATGTGTTCTATGATTCTACAGTGATGATAACAGCATTGACAAAATTTAATGTAATGTTAGTTAAGGTGAGAAAAGTTTCAAACAACGTATTTGGCTTCACATGGAGAAGCAACTTGTCTAGATTGTAAAAGGAATCATGCAAGACTTCATGGAGGACATCATGTTAAATGTGAGATTTAAATGTTAAACTTTACTTTGGATGATAAAGTTTTTTTACCCATAATATTAATTCAGTTTTAAAATTAGTGTCATTAAAACTCGGATTGTGCAGATGTGTGTGACTCTGACTTCCATGAGAAATCAGATCATGGAAAACAGCCTCATCTTCAGCAGCCTCATCTCTGTATTCAACAATGTCCTCATAAACAAACCGTTCTGTTGCAGGGGATCATCTACTAACATCCCTACCATCTGATACACAGTTTTATATAAATGCAAAATATGAACTACATATATTTATTTATTTGCATAAAATATACATTATAAAAATTCAGGTGCCTTTACCCACTGAGACATTTCAACAGCCTAAAGACTAGTGTGGTTTTCAATGGCCACTGTCTGTGTCATTTTGAAACTCATAATAACTTACTTTTCATTAAAAGTTAATTAGGAGGTGTTGTGAAGAGTTTGAAACCTGTACTACTAAACTGAACAAGTATCATGATGAATATACAATTATATCTCCTCCTATTCTTATCTCTATGAACTGAAAGATCTTAGAAACAAATGAAGAAAATAGAGACTGGCATTTCCCTTTGTCTCTCTGGTCTCGCTGTCAGCCCTCATCCTCCAGAGACTATGGATTGAGAGCATATGTACTTTCTTGGCTTGTACCTCATAAGTACAAAAAACAAACATTAATTCACTAAGCTCTCCATTTACTATATATAATTTTCTTTTCCTTTTGATGATTAAGTTACTGACATACTATATTTACAGAGGGGAAGACAGACAAAATTTACCTGGAAATATTTTCAGCCTAAAAATATACCACTGGCATAAAGATATGCTACCAAAAGCAAACCATAGGAGAAATTTTAGTGTCAGTGTATATTTTCAACTTATTCCAAGAAAAAAATGTTTAAGAGGGGCATGGATCTTCACAGCTTTCTTTTGTTGAGGCCATTTTGGAATAGTATAAGAAATAGAACTCCTGATTGTCACAGGGGGACATAGAACTATGAGGCATTTATCCAGTCACTCCACACCTCTTTGTCAATAGGTGGATAGTAACACCTTAAAATGCATTTACAGTACTCCCTGCACATTGTACTCATGGGTAAATTGTACTTCCCAAGCCATAAAAAGGTCTTATAGAAGAAGTCATAAAATGCTATTGACATGAACATGGACTCTCTTCAGGCAACTTCTGAAGCAGCCTGAGAGCATGAGGAGTTTTTAATACTGTACCTAAAATGTTTCTGGTGGGAGGAACAAACTATATAAGGAGGATAAATGTTATTGTTCCAAGTTCCCTCATGTCATATAGAAGATGATAAGGTAAAGAAAACTGATGAGTACATCATATGTTCGTGTACTGAAAAATCTACAAATTTGTGGGAAGAAAACTAAAACTTCAGATATTTAGAAAAGCAATAAAAGTGCCACCTTTCAACATATAAAGATTTTTCATGACCTTGTTCAGTAGAAATTTGCATTTAATTCCAGTGTTTACTTCTCTTATTCATTATTTTTTCTTATTTTACTGGAACATAAGGGATAGTATTAGTTTCCTATAGAGACAATGTTGTAGTGAAATGCATAATCTTTAATAATTAATATTTTAGTAATTAAGATGTGTTGCTTTGAATGTGTTAAATTTATACAAGTATGTGAAACCAGATATATGGCAAGGACAATTTAAAGCAAAAAAAAAAAAGCAGTTCTTTAAAGCCATGGTTTCTTTCCATTTAATTCCATGTTTATTTTTGACAGTTTCATACATTTATATAATATAGTAGTAATTTTAACCATCTTCCCCTCCCAATCTACCTTGATTACCCTCTGAAACCCTTCTTCCCATGCAGTCCTCCAACTCCGATGTCTTCTTTTGATGTCACTCACCAAGCTTATTAGAGTTTCTCACCTGAGCATGTTTTGTATGTTATTCACTGAAGCAAGGGCAACTTATTAGTGGCTACACCACTGAAGAAAATGGCACCCTCATCAAACATCCCTTTTGCAACTATGGTAGCTAGCCTGTAGGGAGAAAACTAGTTTTGTTTTTTTCCATGTCCTTTGACCAAAGGCTGTGATGCCTTAATAAAGAGTGCCTTATCATCACATTCTGATGGGCAAGCAGATCAATGGCATATACCCAGGTGTCTTCGTGACCAACAACTCATAGGGAAATATCCATAGTTGAGACTATAATTATTGTTTAATAACCCTTGGTATCTGGAAGGAGCACTATCCACATGTGTAGGGTATCTCCAACTCTTCCAGAAGGCAATGATTATATTTTAATTCCTCTTTATCACTGAGTAAAATCTCATTGTATATAGGTAACACATTTTCATTATCTATTCATCTGTCAATAGACATCTAAACCAGTTCCATTTCCTAGCTCTTGTGAATATAGAGGCAGAAAACATGGATGTATGGGTGTCTCTGTTATAGAATATATATAATGTTTTAGTTATACACCCAAGAATATATATCTTAGTTTTGCTGCCATATAATTTTTGCTTTCTGAGTAATTGATTTCCATAATTAAAGCCCATTTTCTTATTTGGAAATGCCTATCTCTCAAGCCATCTTATTATGTACCTCATATGATCATGTTATTTGCCCTATAAAACTGTTTAAGCAGAGAAAGAAAGCTCATTACTTATTTATAAGTTCAAAGATGTGTTTATACGTCTACTTTCATTACAATTGCCTTTTATAATATATGATTGTATGTTGGGGATAGAGAAAAAACACGGCCATGAAAGGACAAAATTAACCAGCACTGTGTTGATGACACACATTTCAATTGTACTCTTACATTTTTTGGACAATTTTTTCAGTTCATGTGACCCCATTTGATTAAATACAAAATAAAAATAGTAACAAAGTACTCTTCTTTTATTACATAGAAGCAAGCACTTGAGAGTTACTGGATTTTCATGCACCCATATGGAAAGAATATGCTCTAATTATAGTCTCACACTGACAGAGTTCTTCTCTTCAATCAGGAGTAGATTTCCCCTCTCAAGAAAATCTTGAACTAACTTCTGGCTGTATATAGCACCCAACTCCATTCCACCATGTCTTCTTTTCATGAAAGGTATCAGTTCAGTCTCTGTGGCAGTTGAGTACCCGAAGCACCCACTCCCGCATCTGTTTGGTTCGTGCTGCATATATTAAAGGGTTGACCATGGGAGGCACCAGGAAATACAAATTGTCTATTATAATCTGCAAATAGGGAGCCATATGGTACCCTACAATCTGGGATAAGACTGAAAAGACAACTGGAGAATAAAACAGACCTATGACACAAAGATGAGAACCACATGTGCTAAGAGCTTTGCTCCGGGCTTGCCAAGATGGAATATGAAAGACAGCATGAAGGATTAGTGCATAGGACAGAACGATAAAAACTAGATCAACCCCTACAGATGCTGCCATAACCAGGAGGCCATAAACAATATGATTGGAGATGTCTCCACACGCAATCATCACCACAGCCATGTAGGCACAGTAAGAGTAAGCAATGACCTGGGTTTGGAATCGTTCCAGTCTCTTTGTCAGGATGGGTGCAGGGGTCAGCACTGCTACTGCCCTCGCCAGTATAGCTAGTGCCATCTTCACAAGCATGTTGCTGTCAAGGATGGTTGTATACCTCAGAGGGTACCAGATAGCCACAAATCTATCAAAAGCCATGGCCAAGAGGATTCCTGATTCCATGACATAAAAGGAAGGGATGAAAAACATCTGTGTGAGGCAGGCATCAAAGCTGATTTCTTTGGCATTCATCCAGAAGATTCCTAGCATTCGGGGCACAGTGACTATAACCAGGCACAGGTCCACAACAGATAGTGTAGCCAAGAGAAGGAACATTGGCTCATGAAGACTCTTCTCTATCCAAATGATATTTATGATGGTGACATTTCCTATGATGGTTATTACAAATATTAAGAAAAAGGGCACAGAGAACCAGCCGTGAGAAGATTCCAAGCCTGGGATTCCAGCCAGGATGAATATCAAGGGCTGAGGAATGGAGTTATTACATGAGGGCATGGTCATAGGAGCTCTTCAAGGTCTGATTCCTAGGGAGAACATGGATAATATAATATGAAATTTCTGTATTCGCACTTAGAAATAGTGGTTAGTATAGTAGTTTATGAAGGTAAATGATTCATAAATTGATGATCAAATCAACACTAGCTACTTGGACTGAGAATGAGGAAAATTCTGGACAATTTTCTCTCTAAGAGGAAGAAGCTTTCTCAAAAACTAAGTTCTCATTAAGCATCTACTAATTCCATGGTATAGACTTTTCCATTGCTCTGACTATACAATGCTCAACATTTAGCCTTTTATCATATGACCCCATCTGGGTGATAGGATATAATGGGGCTTGTCTTACACATTACAGGCAGAGTGTATGCATATTATCAAGCTAGTCATTGAAGTGCTTGCTTCAGGCAAGGAAGCTGAATATAATTATGTATTGATCTTGTTTGGGGGATTGGACTTGGTGCTTTAGGATTTTTCTCTGGAAATCT